CTGGGGGCCCGCAGAGCCGAGCCCAGGGCGCTGGTGGCGCAGGGCGGCAGGAGGCCCGGCAGGCCCGGCGGGGGGAGCAGCAGCCCCTGCTCCAGCAGCCGCAGGACGCTGCAGGTGGCCGCCGTCTCCGACACCACCGACTTCAGCTCCGAGTCTTTGCCTTGGTCTTTCTTCTGCTTGGTGCGCCGGTTCTGGAACCAGACCTTGACCTGCAGCCGGGGGAGGCGGGCGGGCGGGAAGGAGGAGAAAGCAGAAGGTCAAGGGGGGAAGGAAGGAGAAGGCTCTCGACCCGACCCCCCCCCCCAAGGCCCCAGCCGGAGAGAGAAAGGCCACCCCACCTGGCCACCCCTCCCCACCTGACCACCAGCGGCCAGGCACGGCTCCCGGGGGGTTTCCTCGGGCGAAGGGGGGCCCTGCCTGCCCGTGGTCAGCGGAACCAGGGGAAGAACGACCGAAAGGTCCCCCCGCGCTTCAAAGCCTTCTTGAAGTGGCTAAGCGTCGCGGGGGCGACAAGGACCGACCCACCCTTACTGCTTTCCCAGACCAAAGTCCACCGTTCTCGGTGGACAGCGAAGAAGGTGGACGCAGGAGGAACCAGAACACGCCTGTGCGTGCGTGATGGAAAAGCCCTTGTTGTACACTGGGCCGTTAAAGAAAGCACATGAGACCTGAAGTAGGGAAGCTTCCACACGGAAGCAACAGCTGCGGGTCTTGAACACCCCCTTAAATACGTCAGCCAAGTTCTTTTCAGAGATGCCTGGCTGAACAATCCCCCGGAAGGGTGATCCTACACTCCCGAAAGTGTGTAGGCCCTGGACCTTCCCATCCCTTCAAAGTAATTCCCTAAAGACCTTAAGGACAAGGCCTTCCGTCTTCTGAATCTCCCTTTCCCCTTCCACCTGCCTTATCTCCGGATGTCTCTGGAGATTCCCCAAACGCCTGTAGAAGCAGAGGTACTTTAGCCACGGTTCAGCCGGGCTGTTCCATTACAGGCTTGTGGCTTGCAAGAGCCGATGTCTTCTGGAGTGCTTTCATTGATCTCTTCCATTCAAGACTGCGAGCTCTACACTAGTTACAGGGTGTGTGCGCGCGCGTGTGTTTTTCCCCTCCCTGGCTCCAGCACTATAAAAGACACCTGCATTCACCCCTCAAGCGTCTTTAGATCTCTTTTCCATTATTTCAAATATTATTTCACTCAAATCAATATCACATGCCACTCTCTAGCCACTGAGGCTGTTCTGTTTGTCATACCTACTTGGCTAAATCTGACAGCCAAAGAAATGCTAATTAGCTTGTCAGAGGGATTCATTACAGTACAGGATCTTTTCAAGAAACAAGAAACCACTCCTCACACTCATAGTCTTCTGCACTGATTCTTTCTTTCTTTCTTTCTTTCTTTCTTTCTTTCTTTCTTTCTTTCTTTCTTTCTTTCTTTCTTTCTTTCTTTCTTTCTTTCTTTCTTTCTTTCTTTCTTTGAAACAATGCTTAGATTGGGCTTTTGCACGTTGAAAATTTAAAACAAAAAAATACCCACATATACATATAACATCGGTCACTTTCTCCCTTTTCCTTCTGCTCTAAAAAGGGACCGGCAAACCTTAACAGAAAATGGGATTTCTTCCCAACCCTCCGGCCTCATCTATTTCATTAGCTAAAATACCGCAACAAGCATTAACCACAGTTCATACTATGTTTTCAGGTGAATGCAAAAATAAGGATATCTTTTATCATAACCACAGTTCATACTATGTTTTCAGGTGAATGCAAAAATAAGGATATCTTTTATCATAACCACAGTTCATACTATGTTTTCAGGTGAATGCAAAAATAAGGATATCTTTTATCATAACCATATTATCCTTTCCTCTGGCTCTCTCATTCAGCAAATCTTTCATACAGTATTTCCTTCCTGTGTCGAATGGTAAACGCCTTCTCGCCTCCTGTGCTATACACACGATTCTATACACCACCCGGAAAACGAGACCGCCCAACTCCCCCCCTCCAACTCATAGCTGTTTTGCAACGAACAGTTCTAAGATGAATGAAAGAAAACTATCTTAAAAGAAGTAGGCCGTCCATGCCGAACTCACTCTTTGTACGATTCACAGGAGATGTGTAAGGTAATGTGGCACGTTACAGTTAAAAAAAATCGTCTAGCTCTCCTATTTACCTTCATTGGTTGATATCCCCCCCCCCAACTGCCACAGTGTTCAAGACCAATTGTTTGTTAAAATGCATCCAGTTTAAACAGACCTGCGGCCATAAGATGTACGCGTTAACTCTCTTTTTCAATACCACAGTCTGCAAACACCAGTCAAAACAAGAGTGGAAAGGACGGGGGGCAAAAAGGCATAACGTTTATGCAGGCATTTGTTGCCCTGACGAGTTTACTTGCACCGTGGATACTTTTGGAATGCGTTTGGAAGTAAACTCTTACTGAAAGTGAGGAGTAACTGGCGGGAAGGAAAAACAAGTACCGGGCAATCTTTAGAAGGAACAGACTCTGGTCGCCGAAAGCTTTTACTGTAATAAGTCTCTTCGCCTCTAAGGCCTCACAAGACTGGGCGGGGAGCGGTCAGTCACCTACACGCCCCCCCCCCCACGAATGTCAAAGTCAGGATACCAGGCCGGGGGTTCTGAAACTGGTGCGGCACTTCCAGCAGACCCCTGTCGCCGGAAGCTCCCTGACAACCAGGGGGGAACGCAACCACCTGCCTCTTAACGCAATGAGGCTCAAGGCGCCCAGCCGCAGGAACAGCCGACGGGGGCGAGAAAGAAGCCCAGATCCTTCGAGGATCGCACGGATTCCACAGCGCAAGACAGGGGAGGCCCTGCTGACGGGGAATTATGGTCAGGGGCTGAACCCTTCTTAAGAGTGCTTTCCGGAGGTTCCACTCCTACAGACCCTTCCCTCCCATCTCTTGAAAGAGAAGGCACGCCCAAATTGAATTTCTGTTTGCCAGTTAATTTTGGTACTTCACGCTCTTGCATTATGTAGGTGAAAACCAATCCTTGCTTCTTCTTTTTTTAAAAAAAGGCCAAGATGTTTGCTTGAAACCTACGGTCATAAAACATGGGAATAAATCTCATTTATTCCAACCCGAGTTGTTTTTATGTAGAATATTTAGGCGAGAGTGTCACTTGTAAGAGCGTGCCCCTTGTAAGTCTGGACAGATTCTTCCGGAAAATAAGTTTTAACAAGCACATGGGAGGGGGACGTGGGGGGGGGGAGTCCTACCGGTGGTTTCCCGCAGGACCATATAGCCATGTTTCCTTGGGAATAAGTGCCACAGAGCGCAGTGGATTCTCAGTGCCCCCCTCCCCAGCAGAGTGAGGCCCTTCTAAGGCCGTTGACTTGCAGGGTCTCAGAAGAGCTAAGCTGTGTTTAGGATTCCCCTGGTAATTTTTTTCCACCCGAACTCGCTTCGCAACACGGAGGCGCCACGTTTGTGAGGGTGCCATTCACACGCCATTGAAGCCGGTGCCTCCCCCCGTGTTCCCTCTAAGCTGAGTTAGTGTGAGCGAGCTCACGGTTGTTTAGCCTCCGGCTCACACATTTTTGACTTAGCCGAGGAAGGATGGCTCCGGAGCAAACTGATTTATGCAGTAGCCAAATCGCTAGCTCACAACTTTAATGCCAGTAGCTCACAAAGTAGCATTTCTGCTGACAAGACTCCAGAGCTTAGAGGGAGCATTTAGACTGGCCCCCACACCCTGCCAGGAGCCCCGGGGTCATGATCCGCCTGAAGGGGCCCTTGCTTTGACCCCTGGCTCTTTCCAGGACGCGCTTGTGCCAAAGGAGGCGAGAGGGTTTCTCTCTTGCTCGGGTCTGGCCAGACCACTGTGGCTAAGCAGTCGGGGGGGGGGGGGGGGAGAGACGGCTCCCTTCGGGGTTTGTACCGGAGAAGCCGCGCTCGGCCCCTTTGCCTGCGTCTCCCTCTTGGGCCTGAGAGCCGGGGATGTGGGCCAGCCTACCCTCTCTCTGCGTGTATATATCTATCTATATCTCGATATATACCTGAGTTTCGGAGAGGTTGAGCTGCCGGGCCAGTTCCGTCCTTTCCCGTCCGACCACGTACTGGCACCGCTGGAACTCCATCTCCAGCCTGTAGAGCTGCTCCGCCGTGAAGGACGTGCGGGTCCTCTTGGGACGGTCCAGGTCGAGCCCTTTCGGAAGGATGATCTCTCGGATGGAGCCTTTGGCATCTGGCAAAAGGAGGCGGAGGAGGGTTGAAGGCCCGGCGGTGGCAGGAGCTGCCCGGGGCGGCGCGCACTGAAAGGGACAGGAGTGGAGACGGCCCTCGAGGGGCCGGCGCATTTCTCTGGCCCCAGAGACTTCCCAGGACAGGCGCCCGGCGGAGGGCTTGACCTTGACACGACGACGTTAACCGCATCGAAGCCCCGATAGAACACCCTCCCCAAAACCCCCCTACAAAAGCACTGGTCGGACCGGAGCTCTGGAAGAACCCCCCTCTTTCCTCTCCGAGGCCTAGCAGCCTCGCCCCTCACTTCTCATTGTCTTTGCGACGATGGGATCACCCCTCATGAAGGCAGGCGGGGAAAGCCGGCAAGAGATGCTTTTCTGGGCCGGTTTCCATCTTTGGCGGCGGCGGGGATGGGGGGGGCTGGCTGGGGAAGATGTTTGCTTTTGCTTCTCAAAACATGAAGGGGGAAAGCCCCCCCCCCCATCCGCTCCGCCCGGGTTTCAGGAAAGCGTTCCAAATCTCATTAGCACCATGTCAGCCCAGAACTCGATCCGGATTACAGCTCAGCCTTTCCAGCCACGTCGTCGTCCTCCCCCCCCC